TCATTCCCGTGGGGGAGGCTCGGTGCGGGGGCTTGGGGGACTTGAGGGGCTTGGGGGCTTGAGGGGCTTGGGGGCTTGAGGGGGAGGGCCTTGAAGATCTTGAGGGGTACGGTGGGGCAATGGGGGGGGAGGCTTGGTGGGCTTGAGGGGGGTGGGGGTAAGGGGAGGCCTTGGGGATCTTGGGAGGCTGGTAGGGTTGGGGGAAGGGCCTACTAGGACTTGGCGACGCATAATAAGGCTTTTTAGGGGAGGCTTAGTGGGTCGTGATGAATCTCCGGAGAAAAAAAGGGGTTGATGAGGATTGCTTAGGCTTGGCGAAGGCTTAGTGGCACTTAAAAGAGGCTTTGGGGATGATGAGGCTGAAGTGTGGGTATCGGTGTTCTTTTTGGGGATGGGGGGGGGCAATGAGCCTTCAATATGAGGGGCTTCTTGGGGAATCCTAGGCTTCGGGGGTGGCTTAGGAGGGCTTCGCAAGAGATAGTCTTGTCGACTGTGAAGATATAAAAGATTACTATCCTTTCAATCTTAATCGCATCCTAATACTGGAGAGATAAAGGGAATAAAAGGAGAAAGAGAGTGAGAAAAAGAGAGAGAGATAGAGGGACTAAGAATGAACAGGGAGGGAAGGCGAAGGGGCTGACGTAGGGCAGATAGGATGGGAGAAGGTTAGGGAGCCTTGTTGACAGTGAAATCTGAATTGGCTTGTTTGAGGCTTAGCGAAGCGAGGATATTGACCTTGGAAAGGACCGAACCAAATATCAGCCGCACAAGAAAAATAAAATCCAATTAGATAGATAAAACAGGTGATTAAATAAATAGAATTTTAAAACAATAGGGGGTTCTCTTAAAAAAAGAAGAAAAAAGTGAGGAGTTTCTTCTCACTAATAAGACGAGGAAAATGGAAAGAAAGGCAGAGAGGAAATAATAGAAAAAATAAAAAAATGAATAATAAATAGATAAATAGAAATAGTAAACAGCAAACACGGTAATGCTTTTGCTACACGCAACAAAGATGCCGTGAAATTGCAAAACATAAAAAATAAGATGAAATAGAAATACACAAAGTGAAATATAAAAGGTGACTATTATTTCAGTCTTAGAGATGAAAATGAAGAAAGAAGAGCTGGGGGGGAGGGGGAAGACAGAGATAAAGATAAACAGATAGATAAATAGATAAATAGAAAGAGAGAAAACTAAGTGAAAAGCCAAAGACCAAAAGATATTACCTAATAACATTACCATAAATACAAAACTGTATTCACGGAAATCAAAACAGCTGATCCAACGACGGGACTGAATACCTAAAGATGACGAATGGATAAAGAAGGGAATAGAGAAAGAGAAAGTTCCGTCCCACATTACAGTAGCGAGTGAGAGTGTCGAGGTTTGCTTCGGATTTCTTGGAAACGAAGCAAACAAGAGAAAAAAAATATTTGATGAAGCAATTGCAGAGTAATTGTTATTGCTTGTAACATTTAGACTCGTTCCATGTGCTGATTGTTGCAAACTTTTCTTCTTTGATTCTTTTTATCTTACTTTTCTGTTTTCTTTTTTTCTCCTAAATTTTTTTTTTTTTTTTTTTTTTTTGTGTCCCCCTTCTTCTTTATCTTTATTGCCCCTCTTATTTTCTATTTTGATTCTTTCTCATTTTTTCTCTTACTTTTCTGTTTTCATTTTTTCTCCTCCATTTCGTTCTCATTTTCTTCTTTTCTGTATCCCCCTTCTCCTTTATTTTCTTTGCCCTCTCTGTTTTTTCTTTTATGTGATTTCTCTCTCTATGACGAAGATTAAATAACATAATCATTCACATTTTATTTAAGCAAATGGAAGGTTATCATAATTACAAATCAACACTGACCTGACGTAACTCCTCTTGACCTAGAACAATGTCAACCAAGAAAAAGCCGTTGGTCAAGGAACTGGAAAAAGGAAAATGCTCATGGTCAAGAGATACCCGCGCTCCAGTCTAGGTCAGGGCAGCGTAGAACAGGTGAGGAAAAGCCGAGCAGAGTCATGAAGGCTGAGGTCAAACTAAATAATATTAGATCAGGTCATGAGAGGTCAGAAGAAGCTGGTATTGTCAGACTAGGCCATGCAAGCTTAGAGAAAGGCTGGCAGGTCCTGGGCAGTGAGTCAGAAGAGGTCAGCCTCGAAGAACGGTACTGAAAGCCATGTTAGGTCATGGGAAGCTAGAGCTAGACAGAAAACACGAGGCGAGGTTATGGAAGATCAGATCGAGCCAGACTGTGTCCTGGACAAGTCCAGAGAATGCGAGGCTGGGTCAGGAAATCTTACAAAGAGGCAGACTCTGGCACGGGAAAAGTCATGAAATCGTGAGAGCATCTCGAGCTAGGTCATGGAAACTGGCTAAGATAGATGTCAAGCTAGGTCATGCGAAATTGGAGAAAGGAGCAGTATCGGGATAGGTCACAACGGAGAATAATAGCTGCGAGTATATACATATATATATATATATATATAGATATACATATATATAATATACATATATATATATATAATATATATATATATATATATATATATATATATAATATATATATACACACACACACACACACACACACACACACACACACACACACACACACACACACACACACACACATACACACATACACACACACACACACAATATAGTGGTGTGTGTGTGTGTGTGTGTGTGTGTGTGTGTGTGTGTGTGTGTGCTTAATTCGCACATCTTCCCGCGAATAAATCTTACTTTCAAGTTTACATATAGACAGTGATACAGTACTAAAATCATTGAATCATTATCCATTACCCTGTATTGCTAAACAGCGAAGAAGGTTGGACGTCAAAGCGTGATCTTTAACAACCTTTAAATATTTTTTCCCTCGTGCCATACAGAGTCAAATGAGGCCAGTAAAATTGAAATGAGCAAGTAAACAAAATTAATAAATACACAGATTTTCCAACGTCCATGGGGATCATAACGAAGAATTTACAACAAAATAAACAAGTTTAATTAACAGTTAGATAAAGGAGTAAAATAAAGTAAAGGCAAAACGTCGGAGAGACTTCACACACTATCTAATTTTCTATAATGAAGTGTCGTTTTTTCATTTATTTGAAATCCCATCACGGATTAATAAAACGGAAATCAATGTGGAATATAAAGAACACACAGATAAACTGAAACACAGAAAGATAATATCTACACGATATAAAAAGGAAAAAAAGAAAAGAAAAAGAAAACCGAATAAGTTCATGACCGCCCATCATTTGGTGCACATGAAATCTGATCTCAATCTTTGACGACTTAAATGTTACTGGAAATTATTAGAATGCCCGTGAAAGAGCAGAAGGAAACCCGTTTGAGGCTTTCGGGCTGAGCGAAGGCGAGGGCTTAAGGGACGGTGCTGGCGTGCGGGAGAGACGTGGGAGGGGAAATCCACATTTGAGAAAGTGGCTTAGAAGAGAGAGGGAGAGGGGAAAGGGGGAGGGGGGAGGGGGGAAGGGAAAGGGAGAGGGAGAGACAGAGAGAGAAGAAGAGAGAGAGAGAAAGGGAGAAAGAGAGAGAGAAAGGGAGGAAGAGAGAGAGAGAGAGAGAGAGAGAGAAGAGGAGAGAAAAGAGAAAGAAAGAGAAAGAGAAAGATAGAGATAGAAAGAGAAGAGAGAGAGAGAGAGAGAGAGAGAGAAGAGAGAGAGAGAGAGAGAGAGAGAGAGAGAGAGAGAGAGAGAAAGAAAGAGAGAAAGAGAGAAAGAGAGAGAGAGAGAGAGAGAGAGAGAGAGAGAGAGAGAGAGAGAGAGAGAGAGTGAGAGAGTGAGAGAGAGAGAGAGAGAGAGAGAGAGAGAGAGAGAGAGAGAGAGAGAGAAAGAGATAAAAAGATAGATAGATAGAGAGAGAGAGAGAGAGAAGAGGGAGGGAGAGAGAGGAGAGAGAGAGAGAGAAGAGAGAGAGAGAGAGAGAGAGAGAGAGAGAGAGAGAAAGAAAGAGAAGAGAGAGAGAGAGAGAGAGAGAGAGAGAGAGAGAGAGAGAGAGAGAGAAGAGAGAGAGAGAGATAGATAGATAGAGAGAGAAAGAAAGAAGAGGAGGAGAGGAGGGAAGGAGAGAGAGAGAGAGAGAGAGAGAGAGAGAGAGAGAGAGAGAGAGAGAGAGGAGAGAGAGAGAGAGAGAGAAAGAGAGAGAGAGAGATGAAAATTAGTGCCAACACCTAAAACGAAACGGAAACGACTTTATGCTAACATTATAAAATGCTTTATATTCAAACAAATCATATTGTCATTCATTGGACATCACGTTATTTTCAAAGAACATCTCAGATATTGCCAGCTTTATTTTTCTAACTCCTGGTTTGTAAAATTCGTAAGTAATGGAGGTCCTTCCGTAGACATACATTTAGAAGGCAGTTGAAAAGCACAATCTCATAAATATTTTGTTATCGGAAACCTTTCTTTTGCACAGTAATTATAAAGAAAAAATTAATGTTCTTCGTACTAAAATTTCCTGTTAAATTTGGGAAACAGAATATTTTCTCCAATAGATGGCACTCTCCTCTCTACCAAAGGAGGAGGGAAGAGGGCGGGGAAAGGGGGTGGAGTCAAAAGCCCTTTATCCTTCTTTCCTGGAAGTTCCTCCGCAATCCAATTACTGACATTTAATATCCAAGACCTAAGACCGTAGAAAGTTGAGGTCAGCTGCTGCATATTCGGCTCTTGATATTAATCTTTCTTTAGCATGTTCAACTAATAGATCCACATACTCTTGCTTGTTCTAATGAGGCAAAGAGGTATTTAGGGTAATTATGTAGTTGTTTGCCTAAGCAGTCTTTGATTTACCGCCCGCCCTCCGAACGCGAACTGGCCCGCCGGCTAAACTGCTATTAATACTTTCATTACCACTATCGTTTTAATAGTTATAGTATTGATAACATATCATTATTATCACTATTATCGTTGTAATCATTATCATTATCATCACTTATTATCGTTGTAATTATTATCATTATCATCACTATTATCGTAATATTATCATTATCATTATCGTTGTAATTATATCATTATCAATCATTATATTATAATTTTAAGTCATTATCAATATTATTATCGTTGTAAACATTTACTGATAGGATTATCATTATCATTGTTGTTATCGTTACTATTGCTATTGTTATTATCATTCCTTTATTTCCATTATCCTTGTTATCAATATCATTATCACCATTGTTAGCATCCTCGTTATTACACTCATTTGTCATTATCATATTTCTATCATTGCTGTTGCTTTTTTGGCTGCTATTATTATTATCATTATCATTATTATTATTATTATCGTTATTGCTAGCATCATTAATATTATCTAACATTATCATTGTCATTATCATTATCTGATAATTATAACTATAATTATCATCATTATTCTTGTTCATATTATTATCATCCTCATTATTACCATCATCATTTATATCATTATTGTTACTATTGCTATCGTTGGCATTACTGCCATCACTATCGTTGTTATCATTATCACTATCATTCTCATCATTGTTCGTTAGTATGCTGTTAATATATATCACAGTCACCGATCTCCCACCATAGGTCATATAAAGCCTTGACCTTTGACCTAGTGATATGACGACCCTGGCTCCCCCTATAATCTCTTCTGCTAAGGAAGGAAGCAATATCTTATAAAAAGAGACCAGTGAGAGTCGACTCGATGGGGCGTCGATTAATCATCAACATGTTTCTCTTATCACGCGGTCCATTATCATTATCAATTTGAGTCGTTTCTATTTTTTAAATGAAAGGTGAAAGTGGTTATGTTTGTTTGTTCATGAACTTGTTGTTGGAATAATGAACTTAGTGTTTAATGATTTTAATTGTAATTGATATGCAATGTAATTCTAATGCAATTGTAGTCTACTTGTCAGTTGTAAACTATAAACCTCTTCGAAAATATTTTATTATAAATTTGAATATCGGCAACATTTTAACATCGAATAAGGTCATATAATATCAAAACAATATTAGTGCTTTAGAATGGGAATAGAAATTTCCTATTTAACATGAGGGAAAATAGTCTTAAAATGAAAAGAAATCATCGCTGGCATCCACAACACGCAAGAGCTATTGCTACTTATTATTATTGTCATCATGAGTATTGTTGCAAAATGAGAACATCTATTTTAACACTTTTCTTTTTAGCTTAATGAATATGATAGCAACAGCATAAAAACGATTGATCAGATGTATCAGAAACAATAGAGTTTATACAGAGAAACTAACTAGTGAAAGCGAGGCATTCAAAATGACACTGTCAATCATTGTCACCATTATTGGCATCGACAGAAACGGATGTGGCAGTCATCTTATCTTTTATGATTAGCACTTTGTTGTTCCTATTATCGTCATCATTATTATCACCGTTATCAATGTTACAAAATCACCATGACTTTTATTGTAATTGTATCCATAGTCATTGCTATTGCCATTGTTATGATAATTGCTACATATAATACCACCACATCTGCTGTTGTTGTTAAGGTTTTATCATAATCACTGGCAGCGTTGGTATGAATGCAGTAGTTATATGTGAAACTACCATTCCTTATTAAAGAATATTGACCATGAATCAAGAAACAAAAACTAAGAATTTCATAGGAAGAGAGACGACAATAATGAGAGCAGATAAATGAATAAAAGAATAAATAATACATAAAAGAACTGATGAATTAATATGAATGTATAATAATATAATATAATAATATAATAATAATAATAATAATAATAATAATAATAATAATAATAATGATAAAAATAACTGACATGATAATAACAATTACAATAATAATATAGTAATAATATCATAATAAAAGATAATAAAATAATAATAATAATAATAATAATAATAATAATAATAATAATAATAATAATAATAATGATAATAATAATAAACATATGAACAGTTTGAAAAATGTATTAAAAGAAGTAAAAAAGTTAAATATAGAAACAGATTTAAGAAATCGAGTCATAAAAAGTTATGAAGGGACAAGTGACACTCTTTATCATTGTGTCTTATATTTAATGCATTTAAAAGCTATCACGTCCACAGTAAA